TTAGTATTTAGATGACTTATTGCGTGTTTATTTAGTTTTGTGTTACATGTACATGCATCATGTTGTTCAATTCCGGCACTTTCCCTTACATATAAACTTCATCGACATACCATTTTCTTAGTGTCTTCTTGATATTGGTTCATGCTTCTTATATTTGGATGTTTTAAATTTCATTTGACATTTCATGTTTGGTTCAGTTTTCTTTATCTCCTTTGACACGTCATGTTTGGCTCACAGCAATATATGGAAATGGAGCTTAAATGAATTAAGAAGTTTTAAAGGTTTTTTCAAGTATCATTCAGTGGCTCCTTGTCACCTCATATTAATTCATTTTCAAAGTTGTTTCGTGAGCTATATAGAGCTGAAGTACAAAACTGCGGGAATTATTTTGAGCCAGTTGCTGGAAAATATCTTCTTTAAACAGAAGCTCTGATGGTTAAAAAAAAGTGTCTTAATGGTTGATAGTTCATTTCAAGAGTCTTCACAAATAGTGTCCATAACAAAACCTTCATAACAATCACCTTATGCATTGCATATAGAACAAGAAAATATATTTGCTTTCAAACTATAGACAAATTATTTCCAAACTTCAAATTCTACACAGGTTTCACATAGTAAAGTATTGTCCATAACCACATTGATAGCTACAAATTACAATACCACCAAGAGATGAAATCACACAAGAGCACAGCCTTTCACAAATTACAAAACATTGGCCATTAAGGACGCCAATGGCAGCAAAACGCTCGTGCCCAATAACCAAGAGACTCCATTATTTTGAACTTGCGAAATGATGTCCTTCTCATTCAACACGTGCGAGAAGATGACGACCTTCTTACGTAGATGGGCTTAACAAGACACCGTCATTGGAGGGGCGTCTCAACCACCAAACCAAACTTCTACCGTTGGATAGATGTCTTCTGCAGCAAGAGCAGTCGGCCGTCGGGCTGACTCACCTGTCAAACTGCTCTCTTTCCGACCCCATGATTGACAGGCCCACTCCCGGCCCGCCTCGGCCCCAACCTCCGCCTCCTCCGTATCTGCGACAACGACCTCACCGGATTCATCCCAGCTTCCTAGTGGACCTCATCCCCCAGGAGCTCGCCGGCTGCTCCAGCCTCGTTGTATTCATGACCGCCCTCAATTTTCTCTTGGGCGGCCCTCAATTTTCTCTTGGGCGCCCTGTCAGGCCTCCAAATACTCAATTTTCTCTTGGGCGCCCTGAAGGAGATGAGGGTTGGGGAAACTAAACGGTTGGAAAAATGAATTTTTGTATTAGCTTTTTATTTGTAGATTTTTATTTTTTATTTATTATTATTGTTGCCATGTCATTTTGTAACCTAATGAAGGGACTTGGGTAGTGTAGAGGGATTGGAGACAAATAGATGACATTTCTATAAACTTTGGATATAATAGTTCGACAAAAATAACCACTTTTGTAAAGGAGAGATAACATATTTTAATAATCTATTATTTTAAAATAAAAATAAAAAAATCTATACAAGTCAACCATATTATATTTGTACATTATTAAAAATTTCTTTGTACGCAACATTATCGGTCTAAGTCTTAAAAGCTTGATTTACACACACTATGATTTTTAAACCACTACGATTAGCAGTGACAGATCTATGAATTTCATTAAGGGGTCCCGATTTTATATGTTAAATAACGAATTTGTAGTTTAAGTCAAAACACTCATCTTTAATAATTGTAAGAGGTTTTTGTTTCTTGATTTTGTAAAACATATATTTTAATGTATTTTAAAGGCAAATTTTTTTTTCCTTACCTTACGGATAAATTTTTTTTATCGATAAATTTAAAAAACCAATCAGACTATTTATGTTATTCTCTTTAAATTATTCGGGTCAGTATGTCGAACTAAAAAAGATTTATGGTTTTTTTTTTTTTTTACTTGAATTACTTTTGTTAATCATTTTAAAATATGTTAAATTGAAAAACTATTAGGATAACATTGTCTATGAAATTGGGCAAATTTTTATATCTATAGTACATATAATATGAAGAATTTCGTACAAATCTTGGAATTATTTTCAGCGATTTTGCAACTAAAAAAGAATGATAACTTACTAACATTTAAAACGATATTCTTTTTCAAACAATATCCATTTACAATAATGTTTAAAACTACATTTATAAATATTTATTACTTAGTTTTAATTTACTGCAAAAAATGATATGTATATTCTAAAGGTTTGCAAAATACGTGCCAAAATTTGATGTCGAACTAAAAAAGATTTATGGTTTTTTTTTTGTCTATTTTTATTAATCACTTTAAAACCAAAACTACTAGAAAACTATTGTGTGTAAAATTGGCCAAACTTCCATTTATTCAGTACATATCAATACGAAGAATTCGTAGAAATCTTGGAATTATTTCGAGCAATTTTTCAACCAAAAAATAAATTGAATCCTATCCGTAATGGTATCATTTTTAACAAATTAATATAGATTGGAAGATATAGTATCCTTAAAAAAATAGAATCTTCTTGATTTTAAAAAATATATGGTTGGTTTCTTGATACTTTGGACATTCATTTTTTTCGCATTCGATATCACTACCCAAAATATATTGAATTCCTGAAAATATGCATGGTTAATTTCCTAATTATGGGGAACACAGACATAATCAACATAATTCCATGGAAACAAATATAATCAAGGAGCGGCAGTTACCAATTATGGTTTTTTACCCATTGACTATAAATAAGAGTCAGATACAATCATTATCCAATGTTGGTTTGGTTTTGAAGGACCAGTTACACGTTGATCTCGTGTCACCAATTGAAACGGTTCGAAAAACTTTCTCATGTTATTGTCGAGTTG